CCCATTTTAGTCCTCGTGAAGAAAAAATTCGTTAAAAAAATACCGTTCAATCGATCGAACTTAAACCAACGATTTTGTAACTAGGGCCCACAGGGCTTCATTCTGGCGGAGTTTGAGGGGAGGTCATTTTTTGACTATTTCCACTGGTAGTTGATAGTTACGCGAAGTCGCTCTTAAATAGTTTCAAAGTTGCAGTGCAGTCACAAAACTGAATTCCTGAGTCTACCTCCATTTTATACTATCTTACTGCCCGAGACTGACAAAGGCGCTATGTAAAATGTTTATGCCTTTTTATTATTATCGAAATAGTAAGTGCCTCGGAAGAGCGGCTAGCGGAGCAGAAAAAGATTTAAACCTTGCTTTTTGATCGGATATTGCGGTTACTTTCATTTCAGTTCATGGTAGCTTGAGTTACTCTTTTGTGGGCAATTTACGGAAGTCCTACGGTGTTCAGCCGACACCTCAAAAACAAGAGAAAGGTGGACCTGATGAAAAAAATCCGCGCACTCAGCCCTGATCTAGAACTCTCCACACATACAGAATCACGCCAAACCACGTGCCGGCTGGGGGGCTAGAGTCAAAGTGTCAAGTTGATGTCTTGCATAGAAAATAAAGCATTGGCCAAAACCAACCTCTAAAACATGGCAGAACCATGCAAGAATTACAGCATATCGGATCTATAAAAGATCTACAGCCCCAAAATACATAAAGTACAAACATTACGTCCTTCGGCATATTAGTTTGCGGTCCTTTGTGGTTAATGTTTGTCAATCAATAGTACATGGACAACGTAGTAAAGGTCTTATATTACACCACCAGCTCCTGAAACCAACTACTAAATGGTATAATCGACGTTCAGGTCTCGGAGGTCACTTCAAGACTATGTGGCTGTAATCTCAAAGAAAAGTTGAAATGTTCAAACGGTATTCACGAAGGAAAGAACTGACATCGGATACGCATTAGCAGAAGAGGCGAGAGGCAAAAGATTTGTCGAATCGTTGAAATGAAGATCAGCGGAAATATTCTTAGCCTGCGAAAACATCCGTTTCTCCTCGCTCTTCGCCGCTGGGGACGTTTCGCGCGGAGGCGAAGAGCGAGGAGAAACGGGTGTTTTCGCAGGCTAAAATATTCTTTGCTCAGGAGAACTTGGCGACTTGTGTTGTCGATGAAACGCATGCCATCAAAACTTGGACATGATTGATGAAATGAAACACTTACCAGGGACAATATTTAATAGCTTTTTATAATACACAGCACGCATGACTTTGTTCTTTCCTATTTATTTGCCCGTGGTTAAAAAGCTGTCTGTTAAAGGGGCTATGTCACCCAACACGCATGCGCGAGCCAATGAAAACAAACTTGAAAAAGACAGCCCAACTTTTTCAAGTTGTGTCGGAGATTTTGGAAGGCTGTTTTTATCTGTCTAAATCTCAGCCATCGCTCGATAGTTAGCGAAGTTTTGTATTAAGAATCATTCTATGGTGATTACAGAACAATTTTTTGGCGTTATTTTAAAATTGTTTGCCTGTGGAATGTTTTTACGTGGATTTACTGTGTCCTCTTATCAGCGGCCGTTGTAATGGCAGAGTTAATGACGGCTACTCCACAATGAGTGATGGAATCTTTGATGGAATCTTCCCTATAGTTCACAGGACCTTTCTATTGAGTTATTTTAGAGGCTGCTGGCTCTTGGATTTTTCTTGTGCTCAAAGTATGTGGACATATAATGAAGCGGCTATCGAGTTGGCGGCGGCCGTTTTTTGTAAACGATTACAAGAGCATCAGGCCATGAGTTTCGTGACGAAACTAAACTCCTGGCGAAGGAAACATTCTAAAATTCGGCTAGATTCCTTCTTGTATTTATCTCGATTCATGGCAAAGATAAACACGACCATTTGCTCGTCCAGATTGTTCTCAACGGACTTAGAGAGGCACCTTAGTACGAGTTAGATCCTGTAAATGCCATGTTTTTGGACTGTTTGTGTTGGAGCATAATTTTGGAAAATAGCAGAGTTTGCTTTCCCTTTTTATCAACGGACTGCTTATAGTGGAGTAGTATACCAATGATGCTGGGTTTTTCTCGACGTCGCAGTGATTCGGCACGATCGAACAATTTTGCGCGATAATGTATGTTTCCCTAAGATCAAAACAAAGACTTGGTCTCTTGTTCTATCAGCATCTAAATTATAAAATCAATAGCGACAGACAAGTTTAATTGTTAATGATTTGAAACAGTCTTGGTCTTTATCTTCTGTCTAGCGTCTTTTGTAGCTCGTTTGTAAAATACAACTTCCATTTATTTTGTTGAATAAGACAATGTGTTGTTGTTGAATTTTTGTTTGCGCTCTATTTTATGAATGGCATGCGTTTTTACTTCAAAACTACAAGTAAAATTGTCGTCGCAATTTTATTCTTGATCTAGCATAACCAGAGAAGAAACGTTCCATAAATTCTATCGAAATATCCCTTATCTAAACCCATTTCGCTAAACCTCTCTAAATTCGGAACCTTGGACGTGACAGAGAACATGAAGAAATTCACGCGTTAAAAACAATAGAATTTTGACAGTTGAAAGTAATTTGCATAACCTCACAGCGCACATGGAGAAAGTCACGCGTTAAAAACAATAGAATTTTGACAGTTGAAAGTAATTTGAATAACCTCAGAGCGCATGCTCTCCAGCTGACATAGCCCCTTTAACCATCAGTTTATTGCTCCGTCGCTCTATAATCAGATAACCCAGTTGATCTTTATAGCAGATATAATTAAACCGAAGATAAAATGTACCACGCTTTTTGGCGGCACGCTTTTTTTTGTGCGAGGTCAGTCGTTTTCTGTCAAAATTTTTGACAGATCACGTAGCGGCTGCCAGGTAATTAGAATGGGGGCAGGAGACGATTTTGGTGGGCCCTCCGGGCAGGCGCTCCCTCTCCCCTCGCGTGTCGTGTCTCCCTCTCGCGCGCTCGTTCTTTCTTGCGCCCACTACTTCCAAGCGCCTGCTACGCAGGCTACTGTAAAATGGCAAATTGAACTGGGTTCAGAGGAGTTTCGTGTGAATAAATGAATTACTTATTTAAAGTCTCACCTTGAAAAAAGTCTATACCTGTCGCTTAGCACGATTAATTAGCCCAGTGGGATCTTTATGAATCTATTGTAAACGATTTCTTCGCTTCTTGTCTGACCCAGATCTTTGTTGTTCGCCATGTTGGTATTTGTTGAATTTTATGATCTGGGCCCAGTTGTTCGAACGCCGGTTAGCGCTAACCCGGGGTTAAATTTTAACCCGGGTTTCTTTTTCTTTTAATCAAAAGCACACTATCGGATAATTTTCTCTATTCTTTTTACAGTATCCAATCATCAAATTGTAGACAAAGAGAATGTTGCTACGGCAATCGTGAATACGTAAATTCGCTGGTATTTGTTGAATTTTGTGATCTGGCCTCTTGCCATCATTACCTGATGAACCATAGACTCGCGTAAAATTCTGAGAAGCTAACAAAGGGCTTACTTTTTCCGAGAAAACTGTGACCTTAAATCACATGCCAGTAATCGGCCGTTTTGATTGGCTTTCTGTCAGAATAGGGAAAACATCAGTTCGACTAAATAGAGTGTGTTCCTTTATCATACGCTCAACTTTTTGGGACAAACTGCCGTGGAATACTGCTGAAATTAGAATATGAAATATGAATCAGGGACTTTTTGTTTAACCATTTCTTCTTTGCTTTTCTTAAGGTAGGAATTGATCATTTTGTCTATTGCATTTATTCACTCACTGCCATCTAGCTATTCAAGTTCTGGTAATTATACAGACAGGTCACTGAGCCGATCGATCAATTCGATGTTGCCTAGTTGAACAACGAGGCCGAAGGGCTGTAATTTCTCGCGAGGCATTGGTAAACGACGTACCACGACGTCAAATTGACACTTTTAAGAACGCTTTGCTGTTTCGACGCTGTGACTTCACTTAACGGCTAAGTACGTACAAAAGGGGGTACGAAATAGTTGTTTTTTATTTGCTTAATGAATCTGCATGGCTCGACAAAAAAGCGGACTTTGTTAATAATGCGTTAACGGCACATTAAGGTTTCATACATTCATTCATGAGTTTTTAGACCGCATGTCTCAACTGGCCACACGAGCAATGAAAATAGTTGTCAAAGACAAATTTTGGTGTTAGCCTTTCTATAAACCAACAAATTTCTAAGAACGTTTATGAATGATAGAGTTTGAAAGTTAACTAGATACCGGTAAAAGGCTCGCTTCTTCCAGTTTTGAACCGAATTAAGGCCGAGTAATTCGCCTGTATTCTTAACACGATTTCCGCAATTAAACCCAACACTGACTAACAGTTCCTCCATCACAGCGGTGGAGCTTGCCATGGATGTTTCAACAAACAGGTCGAAGACTGCTGACTCATCCGCTTCGAACAGTAACTCTGGAACGGTAATTTTCCGTCTGTCGGTGAACTTCTATACTATCGTTGTAACTCGTGTGCGTGAATTGTCCCGAATACAGTGCGACAGACGGGTGACGAAAATGCAAACGGTCAATCGGTGAATTCAGGTTCTTTGAAATCTTATCTCGACTATTCTAACTCACTCGATTTGTCCCGAATACAGTGGATTCCTAATAAGCCAGCCCCTCATCCAAGTTCGATTTTGTTATTTTGTTGAATTAGCAGAAGTTGTGAATCCGCATACCTTTATAGCCACAACATTTTTTACCCCCAATCCCCACCGTACGCATTCTTCAGTTTCATGTGCCCTCTTGTCGTTTAATCACTTAAAATGTAGACTTGGGTAAAATTCCGAGAAACAAGCCAATTTTTGATAAAGAATGGCTTATTGATGTTAAATTACGAGCCAGCGCCCTAAAGTTCTGATTGGTGCACAGTTGTGATAGACGTTTAATCGACCATTTTGATTGGTTCACTGTCAGAATAGGGAAAATACGATGCGATTAATATAGCGTGTTCCATGTAAAAGGCCATTTTACTTTTTGGGAGACTTACCGAGGAGCTGACTTTGCTGAAGAGAAGTTTTGCCTTAAAAGTTCTCCTAAAAGATGAATCAGGGACTTTTTGCTTTGGCATTTCTCCTTTGCGTTTCTTTCGGTAAGTACTTTTTGTCCGTTCTATTGCATTGATTCGCTCATTGCCATCTAGTTCTTTTTGGCAATGATTAGACATGCCAGTCGATCGATACATAGCGGATTTGAAACGGTTTTATTCAAAGTTGCTTTTCTTAGGACTGTACTTTCTTCGCTGTATTGGTATACGTTGTTCAGTTGTTCCTTGCAAGATTACGGTTTGTCTTTGTTACGGTTTGTCTTTATGTATAAAATTGATCTGAGTGGAGGATCAGAAAAACCTGAGTTTGTCGATAGGTCGTAAAAGTGATTGAAAGTTGCATTCATACATTGGTGACAAGATATTTTGAAACATTAAAACTTAACTGGCCAGGTTTAATCAAAACAGCTGCGCTGTAAAACAACAAAAATTTTCCGCGTTCACGGATAAGCCAGCGCCTACTTTCGTTTAACAGAGGCTTTCAGTAAACCACCAAATTCGTTAGAGCTTGCATCGCCGAAATAACTTTAACTGTTACTTTAAAAGGTTCATTTCTACTAGTAATGCAAAGGATATTGGTCTTGATTCGTAGATCAAATGGGATCGAAGTTTACTTGATTGTTGAATTAGAAGTACATCAAATTTGGTGAGAGAACGTTAAAATTCTTTTGAGAGGTTTCAGCTATTGTAAACTGTTCCACGCTTTTGAATCATAATGACGGAATAGAATTTCTAATAAAATTTGTTTTTGGACTTGAAGGAAATGATGTCTTGGTATCTTCTGCAGCCTGAATTCCTCTATTAAATTCCCTGGCGGTGTAACTTTTATTCATTTGAAGACGGAAAATTCCAGCTACGATTATCGTATGCATGCGATCGTGACTCGTGCATACGAGTGCATGAAAGACGTGTTAAGTGGGTACCACCACAAAGAAAGGGAGTGAAAATTTTCACTCCAAAAATGGAGATTGCCGGATTATTTTAAACTCGATTCATTTTTCAAGTGCAGATGAGATTCTCAAAGGTCAGAAAAGGAAAGAAATATTAGACGTTCACTTTCATGTTAAGTTTTGATTAAGTAGGAGTTCTGAATCAGTATGCCATAGTCCTAACGGAAATGTCAAAGTTTTCATTTTTTGTCCATTTTAGACTTTTCGAATTTCGAGTTCAACGCAACAGAGAATTGCCTCATTCTCTGCTAGCTCAACGTCTATCCTTTGTTACGAAATTGATAAATCGCGTTCCACGCAAAATTCCTAGAAACTGACAAAGGACTCATTCAAATTTTCCCGGAATCGGGTTTGTTATAATTATAATTTAAGGATTATTGATAAGGCACCACCCATTCTTTATAATGCCCTATATTTATTTTGCTGTCACATTCTGTCACTTAAGGGCTGAATATCCCTAAAAAGCATGCATGATCGAGTCTTGTGTAGCGGATAAAGAGCATGAAAAATTGTTTCATAACTGAGTCTAAAGTTCATTTAAATAAAGAAGTTGATGTGAAGCAACCGGCATACACTCTTTTTTTTTTTATAAGAATGTTGTTTTCCCAGGCCAGGCTGAATATTCTTATTTTTCCGCAGATTTTAGGCTTTAAATATTCTTGTATTATTCTTAATAATAGCTTATGACATTTTCGTTTTAGAATATATTAAGGTATCAATTATAGTTTTGTTAAATATAGTTAGCTAGTTTTGCCGTTTAAAGAAAGGAATAAATTGAAAACGTATATTTGTATTGTATTTACAGATTTTCACCAGACGAAATTCATCGTTTTCAAAATCTCAGCCTGGAGTTTATTCTTAAAGTATTCTTAAGATTTCGCAAATTTCAGCCTCGATATTCCTATAAAATATATTCTTATAGAAAAAAAAGAGTGTAATTAAGCATGCGGAAGCAGTTGTCTACAAAACAAACTGAGTTGTTTGTTTAGTTGAAACTTCTATACTAGTACACTAATGGTATAGAATTTAAAAAAGGCCAAAGGAGAATACGTTTTGAAGAAAGCTGTGAAACTTCATTAATGACTAAGAGTGAAAAACAAAATGATGTCAAATGCTCAAATAAAAGTACTGCTATATATAGGAGTTTAATTTGTGTGGTTTTATATATAATTGACATCACAAGTGTCTACTCTCATGCGAATTTAGGATGTTATCCAAACATTTCACGCTGATTCTGCTGAGATGCTCTGATTCGCTACCTTTAATGAATGAAGAGAGACCCTGCCCAAGAAACAAGGTTGCGGGTTAATGGAAGTGAAAATCTGTTCGTTACAAGATAAAAATGAAACTTTTCTTCGGTAGCGAGGAAGCCAAACTGACTATCATACTTCTTAGTATTATCACTACTGAAAACGGTTGTTCTTCTACACTGCCGAAGACATTGTAGTTGAAAGAAATCGGCAAAAATAATAGATTTTACATTCGACTCTTTTGGCTTGAACTTCGATAGCGATAAAAGCACATAAATTAAGTTTACGTAACTTCGTCCGCACGGAAAGGTATCAGTAAATGACCGCGGAAGGTCCACTGCCTCGTCCGTCCGTACACAGGGACGCGGGTCTTCTTTGTTTATTGGCAATGGCCTCCTTAACGCGACGCTCGACGTTGTACTTTTCAGTAATTAGAACAATTATCAACAGCATTGCTGGAGCGTTATAGGCCTTGCGACAGAACCAGTAGAGAGACTCTTAAAAGAACGAATAGCTATACGTGTAAACAACAAAGAGAGAAAACGGTACTACTACAATCTGTTAGCACTGCTTTCCTGGACTATACAGAAAGGAATACAATGATTCCCTGCAAGTCTGATTATGTGTTCTATTTCAGCATGTGGCTTACAGTGTTATAAGTGCTTAAGCACGAAAAGTTGGGATGACTGTGAAAGCGTCAAAACAAAGGTGAACTGCTCCTCTGGCGAGAACCGATGTTTTAAGGCCTACGAAGATATCAAAAAAGGCGGAGTATCAGTGAAGGGTTATGGCAAAGGTTGTAGTTCAGCAGAGATTTGCAAAACTGCGACAGACACCGACGCCTGTAAGAAAGGAACCTGTGAGATGGATTGCTGCTCTGGAGATCTTTGCAATGCCGCCACAGTACCACTGGTCAGCGCCATCATCTTCACCGTATGCGCTGTTCTGGCCACTTCTCTTTAAACCATGATCAGAGTACTCAAGTGTTGCAATTTATAGCTCCCAGTTTCAGTAAAAGGATAATTAAGACTGATTCGTTTGTTGGGTTAGTTTCTAATTAAGCTTTTTTTATGAAAGAACGATCGTAAACCACTTAGCGTTTGTTTCTATCTAATCGAGGGTAACGTTGTTTTTAGGTTTTGATCAAGGCAAGGTCACTTCTTTGTTTTAATGAAAGTTTACAAAAATTTTTAGTGAAAATCTCAACTCTGTAAGTCCTCTCAGG